ATTTCCTATTTCTAGATTTTTGCCTTCATCTCGTGAATATTGGCTGGCAACTCGGTAAAAACTAAACTTTTTAAATAGCTCCAGAGAAAAAAATCGACTGGTTGGGGAACTTAGATGGCCAGGCTAGGTCCCCAAACTGCTAATGACTTTACCGCGAAATAAACTCAGGGCCTTGGTCATAAAAGTCGATAATTGATTTGCGGTATGTGCGGTAACGACATCTTGATGAAACCCCGTTTTATCATAAGGTCCATCATATCCTAACACTCTAGCATAAAAAATTGTTTAACTTCGCGACCTTAGCGATCACTGGCCACAGTTACAGCGTAGACGCGAGTGTCTTCAAAAAAGTGAGGCCCTATAATTTGTGTTACAAATACCGTGCACTGGACGGTCACCTTAGCACTGTACACTGTGCACTGTTCTCAATGAATGCAGACCGCATTGATTGTGAGGCAAGATGGAATGCCTCTTTTCCAGTGAAAAGGGTCTCCGATTCTCGACACTCAAACACAGCAGCATGTAACTGCTTTTCTGTGAGAACGTGATCCTTCCCCGATCGTGCCGACCCATTCATGCTACAAACCATAATATAGCTACAGCGTGGTTCTACCACGTATAAAAGGTAAAATGTAAGTTCGCTTGTCAACTTATTTTGTAAAAATAATTAAAAATTAAAAATTTTGTACAACCAAATTAATTATTAAGAAACTAAATTATTAAGATTAACTCACAAACTATTGGTCAGACCTTGACCGAATTTATATGAGACCACATGAAAAGTACCAGCTTTCAAATAAAAAAAAGAATCATCGAAATCGCTTCACTCTGAAAAAAAGTTATAACGTAACACACATAAAAAAAAAACAAAAATACATACAGTCGAATTGAATATCTTCTCCTTTTTGAAGTCGGTAGAAAATAAGTACAAAGTAAGTCTATACTATACGTTTCACTGTTAGCACAGGCCTTGTTTGATTCCTGAGAGATTATGTGGAGAAATAACCGCGTGCTAATTTAGCGCTTGATGTGGACTTGGGATGTTCTTAAGCACGTGGTAAACCAGCACTTAAAATACTAATTAATAACAATTTTATTTCATTCCAGGTAACTCGAGTACTGTGGAATTTACGGCGAGCATTTATTATTAGAGCACTTATTGGCGGTTATATACGATATTAATGACCATAAGCTTTTCGAAAAATTCTATCTTTATTCTTCTATCTTCAGCCTGTTCCTTTTGAGAGCAAAACCAACTTTTAGATTAAATATATTTTTCTACATACACTGAAGTGAGTAGGGTAAAGTGTCAAAACAGTTTATTCAATATAAAGATACATAATATGTATGTTATTACTCCAAGAACGAACACGAATAAAATAATAAATCTTAGAATAATAATTAATATTTGTCCCCTAGTACAGCTTTCTGTGGCCTATCCTTAATTTTAAAGTTTAAACGTTATGATGGCACTTAGTACTTGAGTATTAGTTCGTACACTCCCCATGAGTGGGGTCACAGGGACAGAATACTATATTTTTATTTAATATAAATTATTATTAAATAAAAATAATATTGTGTTACTTTGAATCGTACTCATTGCAGGTACGTCAAACTTTTCGCTATCTCTTTACATAGCAAACTAAAATATCAATAAACACAATTTTCCTGGTACTCCACAATCAACGATATGTACACTGTATTTTCCTGGTGCATATACGAATAGGTAAATTCTCTTTGATGTGGAAAACAGATTTTTGATTGCTAACAGCCGGATTAATATTTGTTAGTATTCAAATATATACGAGTATGTATACTCGCCGTCTCAATTGAGGAAAAATGTAGTGAAGCGTACGTTCCGATCTGACGAAGGATGAAAAATAAAATATTTCACACCATGTATGAACTGGCTCTCTATTCGATGGCAAAATGGGTAAGAGAGCGGTACCAGCCCAGAAAGACTCCTAGCCAGAAACTGAATCCTATCTACTAGTAAATTATTTTGCAATGGAATTAATTTTGGTGCAATCTTTATTGAATTCGAAATGTTATTGTGTATGTCTCGTTTGATAAGCCATTTGGCATTTATTGGTACTAGATTTCGCCGACTATAAGGGAACAATTTTTTTTCTTGCGCAATAATAAGTTTCGTGTGCGTAATTCAAGACATGGTCTGTTCAGGTGCCAAATTTCATTCCATTCCGTTCATTCCGTCATATCTAAAATCATATCTAAACACAGTATTGGTAAAATGAAGTTTAGAGTCGCTACCCGTTTTTAAAAGCACCCAACTTTTCATTAGCCTCTAAAAGTCCACGGCTGTACATGGGCCTCTCGCGTTGTAGAGTCGCAAATCGTTTTATTTGACCCTCGAATTAACGATATTAGCCAAGTGATGACTTAGTATAGTTAAAAAAATCGCAATAACAAAGGAATGATGCCCGTCGCCAGGCTGGATATTTACATCTGGTGTAAACGAGGTGATTATACAGATATCTATAGGAAGGGCTTAAGATTTGTCTGTCGTTTGCCAAAGTCGCCTCTTACAGCACCTACGGGACGAAATGGAGTTATAGATTTCTTTACACCGCCACCAAATGGCACTTAAAACAATGTGTTTTAGGTGAACATAATATAATCATTTTCGTGACTAAAACCAGTCGTAGTAGGAATTGTTGCGTGAAGTTGAAAACGACAGCAAATTATCGTTTCAATATTTTCCGACACCTTTAAAAGAAATAACCAGTTTAACAAGACGCTATGTAGTTGGCAAACAACGATGCTAATTTACCTACTGTGGATCTTAATCATGAATATTAATCGTCACTATTAACCTCAAAAATCTTATAATCAAAACAGCAAAGGCTATAAAATTAGATAATACATAAAATTCAATATCGTTTCTATTACATATATGATACTTAAGATAAATTGCATAATACATGTAGATAAGGCAAGCATCCACTTACTCGTAATATTCATATTCGGGCAGTACGTTAGCATTTTTTGCATGTAGAGTAATCGCTTTTGTTACCATCTAGAATCGGCCATCGCATTTGCATGCAAGTTAAAAAGTTTCGTTTATACATACAGCCACGTTTAGATATGGAGTATTCCAGGCTTAAAAAAAGTATTGCGTTTGGACAAAATTCCATTTAATTAGCTAAAATCATTCGTGTTTGTACATTTAATTATAACCATTTTATCGCCAGCATACGCACATGATGTTTTGTACATCTATGGGGGTTATTCCTTTTATCCACCCTAAAAATTCGCCCTAGGGTGGACTCGTAAACGCATGTTAATTTATCCACTTCAGACGGGATGGATAATTGGAATTCACCGTTATTTGTTCTACTGACATTTTACCCCAGTACAGTTCAACACATACACTTTAATTATTAATTAATTTTTAATAACCACAAACTTAATCAAAGAGCATAATATTACGTATTGCCGTTACCGTTACAGCCTATTAAAGTCATAAAGTATTGCATTTAAATCAAATTAAACTTCCTCCTTTTAAATAATATTATTGCGTAATTTATAAATTCTGCAATAATATGTCCAGGTAATTAATTACCAACACCACTTTCATTATTGAGCAGACGTAATTTATAATCCTGGATAAATTCGTCACTTCTAATGTATATTTGAAATCGTTTTCTAAATTTCTTTGCTACAACAGATGTGTTAGCGAAGAACTTTACGTTTTTTGCAAACATTCCAAAAACGTTACTATTGGATGTTTGTCTTTAACTTCATTTTAGATTATTTTATGCCCAAAATTTCATCGGATCCCGTGAAAAGTATGTATATATTTCTATAGGTATATCTATTAAGTGTCTTGCCAGTGGCCAGTTTTTATCATGTTTCTATAAATGACTGTACACAGCCAAGGGAGAAAATTGTAAAAAAATTATATATACGAATTCCAATTATCCACCTCGTGTTTCCGAGTATCCACCATAGGGTATATTTTTTAGGGTGGATAAACGGAATAATTCATCTATGGCACAGTACCCGCCGAATGATATAAGTTTCATTCCCCTCCTGATGTAATAAGTACTAAAAACGTATGAAAGATTTTTTGGAATGAAAACTTATGGATAACTTTTTTACACCTCTAATACATTTTTTAAATAAATAAATATTAAAATTGATATTGCTTATAATATATTTCTTTCGTCCAGCAGCAATCCATGACGAAAACCTTTGAAAGATTTTAATTGGAACGAAGTTCCTTATTGCACGGCACACGGACTTGGCGGATGGGGGCTAGCCGAAAAAAAGTGTAAGTTTTCCGTCACGACTTTGGGGCTATAAGGAAGCGAGATGGAATAATATCTATCTATCCCGAACTTTTTCTTATCTTGCCATGAAAGAAATATTATTTTAAATGATGCTAATACCTTTATCAATAATAATAATAATATACTACGAAAGGAACTTCGTTCCGACCTAGTGTTCCAAGACACTCAAATTTTTATTCTCTTAATATTCTTTTGACGACTCAATAGCACAATGCCTAAGCCTTTGGTTGGGGCGCTATAAAGCCGTAGGTTCGAATCTCACACGGAATATAATAAATATGTTGTAGCTTGTATAACCTACAAATTGTTTCGGGCCAGCATATTTGCGCATGTAGTGTAATTTCTGTAAGAGTATGTAAAAAGTCTCCACGATAAAGGAGAAAATTCTACTTTGGGGTATATGTTTATTATAATAAAAAAGGTTTCAAAATAAAAGTAATGAATTAATTATTTTAAAAAATTCGCATAATGAGCTGATGATATTATTGAATAATTTTTTTAAAATATTATGTCTTTTGCAAAACGCAATGCGATTTTATATTATATAAAAATACACAAGTAATAGACAAAAACATACATTTAATCTCATAATATCATATATAAATGCTTTTGCTCTAACACTAAGTACAGTAGAAGAAAATGTACATTTCCGGTCATTTATATTTAGTATGCTATGAGGTATGTACATTAACTTGACTGCCCTATTGTAGATGTCTTATTAGATGTTTTAGAATAATAACTTAAGATCGGGGCTGAAGTGGTTCCATCCGAAAATATTTTAAACTTACTTACATTGTTATTAGAAAACGCAAATTTGTAAGTAGGCAGGTGAGGACGTTGGGTGGGGTTTAAATAAAGATCAAAAATTGACAACGTCGTTTTTGGTGTTGCTCGCGTTGTGGGACCAGTAGTTTTTACTGTTTGTTTATCATTTCCTTCATTGTTCGCTTTTGAAAATTTTAAAAGAGACTGCTCGGTACTGCTTTTAGTCGAATGATTAGTGCGGAATGTTGTTGTCTCTCTTGAATGTCCATATTGTCCAGGGCCACGATATGGGGAAATCGTCGCTGTTGAAGTCGAAACTATGGCTGGCTTAAATGTAACATTTCTATCGATGTGTGTCACATTTTCGTAAGCATTTGACCAGGATTTGCCGCGTCTCCAGAGTGATACCTGTGACCTTCGTGTACTATGCCAGTCATTCGCAGACTTACTTTGGTTACTATTTTTACTATTTAGTGCACCATTTATTGACAACGCTTCTGTTGTTCTCCGTGTTGAAACCATAGGCTTTATCGTGGTGCTCATCTGCTGTATTGGCGACGCAGTGATTTTGGTTGATTCGTTATTTTTTTTACTATATTCTCGTGCCGTAGCTAACCAAGTTCGGGTTGATGAAGTCTGTTGAACTTTAGATATGCTGAACTGTTTTACTGTTGATTCTGTTTTATAAACATTTGGCCGTTTAGTAGACCAATTTTGAACAGATTTCTGCGTCGTTGATATTTGTTTTGAATTCGGCAATGGAGTTGTCCATGGGCTATGTGTCTCCCAAGTACTTTTCATTATATATTTTGTTGTTTCTTTGATTGACGGAATATTTTTGGATGTTACATCTGTCAAAATATTATCACTACTATTTGACAGCTTCCTTGTTACCAATGTTGAAGATGTCGTAAGTGGTAATGAAATTTGTATTGGGGACGAATGGTTTAACACTGGAGAAACTTTGTGTACTGTCTTTTTTTCAGTCGGAGAGTATATTGAACTATTTTGGGTAGTTGAAATTGCAAGTGTTCTTGAAGACGGCGGTGTTGTGCTTTGTAACGTATTAAGGTAGTTTTTTCTATTCACATATTCTTCAGATGATATTTCATTAAAAGGAATCATTTTTCTCCTAAACTGATTCGTTTCTATCATTCTCCAAGGCTTGACTGGTTTATATTGCACTTCCGGCTGCATGGTTGTAGTGGATGTTGTAAGAATTTGGGTGGTGAGTGGACGAAGGAAATCATAATCAGGTTTAAGATTGAAATTAGGAAGCTTCAATTCATCTACATTACCGATTTTAAACTGGGACCAGTTCACATTCTGCTTGCGATAATAGTCTTCTTCAAAATCTTGCTCAAACTTTCGACGCAACATAGAAATAATGGATAGATACGTTGGAAATGATTGTTCACTTTGAGGAATTGTTACACTTTGCACTGCATTTGATAAAGGAACGTTAACTGTTGGATAAACATCCTTATGCCAAGAACGTGATCTGCCTTCCACATTACGAGTATAATTTAAATCTTTCACAGAAATGTCACAATCGGCTAAATATTTTTTTGCATTATGCTTGCAATGCTGCGGGTACACTACCCAAGCGAGGAACCCGTTGCCTTGTAGACGTGTGTGCTCTTCGTAGATTGTTAGTGCGCATTCCACGTCGTTTGAAATATCATCATCGCGTAAAGCTGAACAAGGCAATCCACACGCTTTGCCGGGACCGCACCAATATATTTCGCTAATTTGTAGCAGTCCATGGTCTCCACTGTAGCCGTTGCGAGCGGCAGTGTCAAAGCGGGACTCGTGGTAGGCAATGCAGACCCAGGTGGCGATGTGCTCTCTGCGGATTCCAAGCTTGATTAAGTCGCGCGCAAGTTCGCATCGCTCGTAAATGCGCGCACCGGCGAGTACTAGAAGAGTACTTGTCAACAACGCGAGACTGTACATTGTGTCGTGCCTTTGCGTTTTGGAGACGTGCGCACGCTTTTTTACCGCCTCCTCTCGCCGCGCGCCCGCGCACTATCTATGTCACACCCGTATTCAACGGTGGTATTTATTATAAGGGGTTAAGCTACCTAGCATTTTTGTACACAGATAAAATTCTTTTTTCCTACTAGCTATGATTAGTGCGGAATAATAACTAGTAATGGGTGACTGCAACTGCGACTGAAGTTCAACAGGCGATGGCCGGATTAAAGCGGTTCGCCTTGAGGTGAACAGTGAATACGTCATTACAACATTACGCTTGTGCGTGCTTTTTTTATTTAATCTATTTTTTAAGTTTGCATAGTGCAAAAATGAATAAAATTGCTACACCATACAAAGTAAGATAACGCCGACATCTCGAGTGAAGTTCTTAAAAAAGTAATTTTTCTCGGCGAGAGCACAAAGAAGTCTAATTTACTCGACTACATAATTTGCCAAGGTAATATTACGAATCCATCTAGTTATTCATGAATCGTTTTAATTTTATGATACATGTAATCACACGATTTCGTTAACAGGTGTATCCTAACCGGCTTCACTGTTTAGTGAGTAAACATTATACATACCTACGCTTGATTTCCGCAGCGGGTCAAGAGGTGCGCCGTCAGCCTCAGATGCCTAATTTAAAATTAACCTTTGCTTAAGATAAACATGATCGTATAACTTACGGAGTCATACGCTCATCTTTCATTGAGCGTGGCCATCACTTATGTCGCTTACGTCACTGTGTGGAACATTAAATATTTACCCCTCAGTGTCTTAAGTAAAAAAAAAAAATATTAGATCTATTTCAGTATCTAATAACTATAAGAAACAAGTTGATACAAAAGGCAATTCCATATTCAGGGAAACAAAGTGCTTTGCTTTGTCGTTTCCATTAATATATATAAAACGAACGTTGTCGGCGACTTCGTTCGCATATTAAATTTTTCTTAGATTTTGTAAAAGCCGGTAATTTATATCATTTAAAGTTTTATAACTGTGGGCCAAGCCACAAAACATTTTCAACTCAACAGTATTAATATAGATATGTATAAATATACTTATGAGGTGTAATTTAGTCATAAAACCCGATTAAGTGCAAGACTTCCACAACAAGAGTTTCGATGAAAACTTAAGATACGCTGTTAGAAAATAAAAAAAGAAACTGAGGAAGAGGTCAACAATTGCTCTAATTTATAATAACACTAGCAATGCCCAACTCAAATACAAATCAGAATCGGTCCAGTCGTTGAGGAGGAGTTTAGTGACAAATACACCTACACAAGAATTATATCTATAAATAAAGTTATAGTTTATTGGATTAACAACTTTAATCATAATAAGCTCAGCATCCCGTTTGGTCCTGTGGGTATTGTAAGTCACGATTATAGGACTAACTTTACATAATATTCTATTGAAAGGCCCAGTCCAGAAAGATAGACATACAACGCTTTTAATTGTTATTCTGGCATCTCTATTGATACCCCTATACAAATAAAAATAATGTATTTACAGAAATTGTCCCCTTGACGTTTTGTAATGGTATAGATAAAATTGCACTAGAATTAACTATGTGTAGAGAAAGATATAAATGAGTTATTTTTTTTAAAGTTTCGCTACGTTTTTAGGGTTCCGTACCTCAAAAGGATAAAACGGAACCTTTATAGGATCACTTTGTTGTCCGTCTGTCTATCTGTCTGTTAAGACCCTTTTTCTCAGGAACGCGTGGAGGTATCAAGCTGAAATTCATATATAAAATATATAAATACTCAAGTATACTGTCCTTTGGGGCTGTGAAAAAATCAAACTTCTAAGCCAACGCAATCAAAAGATACAGCCGTTTATGCTGCAAATTTTCGACATTCGTAAGGGAATCAAAACCTACAGGGTACTTCCCGTGAACTCAGAATCTTAAAATTTGGTACGAAGCAACGTATTATAGCACAGATAAAGAAAAAATTGCGAAACCCTAAATTTTTAGTTACATCATATAATAAAAATATTTTTAATAATTTTAAACTTATATACCTACGGATTTGTTCGGAACCCTCGGTGCGCGAGTCCGACTCGCACTTGGCCGGTTTTTTATCATATTCTTGCTTTATCATGCGATTCTGAGCTATATTCAAAACTCCAAGTCTCTAGATCATCGGGAAGTTAGTATAAAATCAATTACTACATTTCACCCGGAATGACTGATTGACAAACAAAAAATAAATTAATAAAAAATCGGTCAAATAAAATAAGTTTATTTATGCTCACACGAAAGGCTGCAAAACAAAGTGGATTAAATTAACTAGAACTAAAAATAGATTAACAAGTTATGCAATATTTACCTCAAAGACGCAATTTCCATAAAATTGCACTCAAACACACAGGAAAATGATATTATAAAAATGCGAGCACAGGAAAGATAAGAGGTTACAGCTTTACCAAGTATATTGCCTTTGAAGCGTTGAGTTATTTTCTTATAAAAATGTATTTTAAAATAAGTATTTAAAGAACAATCTCGAGACTGCATGCATGTATATGTACCTACATTATGTAGGTTACCTACATATATATGCATGCAGCAACTCAACGTAAAAACATACAGTTATTTGTCATTTCGCTATTGCACATTGTTAAGTACTGTTATGGTAAAAATTCAATGTAATACAATATTTATAGGTAGTAGATGGTACTAGAACCAAGCTTTGGGGTGTTGTAGCTGCAGTAGGAATGGGTAAGCCGTACCCCAGAAGTACGCACGCACGCACTCACGTACGCACGCACGCACACACGCACACACACACACACACACACACACACACACACACACACACACACACACAATATACATAGTAAAATAGCTGCATAATGCTGCTGCGAAGATAATGTCTTTTTACTGTTACCATCAGGTCTGGATGCTCGTTTGTCGCTTCTTCCGTTTTTAAAATAATCGTCAATAATTTAATAATAAATAATTTAGACAAAATAAAATAAACTAATTATGAAAATATGACAATTTTAGAAATGCTTTTATACATACGATGACGAGCTCAAACAACCTTGTGACGATGACAAGTTGAAAAATAATACGTAGTTGAATATTTAAGCGCGACACAAAGTAGAAAAACACAATTAATTACAAAAAGATAAAAACTAATATAAGAGACGGACTTAGTAGAGGTAGTACCATAGATTAACACTATTTTTTTTGTGCACAGCCAACCATTACAGCCTATGAAAAGCTCACTGCTGAACAAAGGCCTCCCTCATAGATTGCCTTATGTAAGTATATGGAGGATATTTATTATAATTGTCACGTTAGGCTAGCGGGAATTTTTTTATTCAACTGTTTTATTTTTTTTTTGTTTGTTTTATTGAAGATGCTGATGTCCATTTGTTTTTTTTTTTTTTTTGTAAATTGCAATTAAGTTCATTCTAGGAAACGCCTATTTTTGTTGTGTGTAAGTTTTTAAAATTGTAATTATATAGTTATAAATTTGAAATTTATTATTATTTTGCAATTTAATACGAGTTACACAAAAACATCTTAAAATAATGTGACAATAAGATACAAAGGTTAATGTATAATATAGAGAAATAAGTCAAATCTTTTGAGTCATCTAGCGACTAGACAGCTCAGCAATCGGTACCACATTATCAATTATTTTTGGAAAATTGTTAAGTACTCACCAACACAACTATAGAGTTCGGTTGCACCATCCAACAAGCACCCATCCTCTTTGGTGATACCAGTGGTCGCGTTAAGGCAGAAGCACCCGTCTTCGTTATTCAACAGCCATTCATTGGCGGCGAATCTTAAAGCTGGTATACCTTCATACTCCGTGTCGTATTGATACCGAAGTTCCACCGACCTGTTTAAAGCAAAACTTAAATGAAATGCACTAAAATTATGTTGTTACAATTCAACCGAATATCTCTCTCCATTATTTTCTTTAAATAAGAATAACAAATGAGCATAGATATCTAGATATGTATTCGATTTAGAATCAAAACGTTCTAGTAAATAGGGTCTTTGGTGCTCTACACTCTAAGCTGCTATTTGACGCCAGTATTCTGTGAAAGCTTTCTCCGGTCGAGTCGACCTATTCGTGCTCCAACCATAATATATCTGCTGCGTGGCTCTAGCACATGTAATATATTACACAAATGCTAAAAATAATAAACTACTAGAATATTTAACCGCCATGTAGTGGTGACGTAGATAACACACCAGAATTCAAGCATACAATCTAAAAAATATCAAATCAACAAAAGCAGTAGGTATACAGATAAAATCCCACTGATGAAGCCCAAATTGATATTGTAATCCATTCGCAATGGCACTTTGGTTTCCTAAAAACGTCAAAAAACCTCTATCACCAAAGGAGTATTGTAAGGGGCGACAAAGGGAAATAGAACGGGAAATAGGCAGTAGTTTTTTTTCTGATGACTTAAAATATTCAAGAACGAATATCACTCCTATGAAGCAATCTATGGGGAATATCTATTCAGCAGTGCACTTTTGAGAAGCTGTAATGAATTAATGAATGAAATATTTAATGCAAAATTATTTTTAAAACGTAGTCGTATTTCGTTATTATTGCTTTAGTTTTTTTTACTAATGTAAGGATAGCAGTAAGTTGTATTTTGAAGTATTTGTTTGAGCTACAAAATCAGTTTTTAAGAGTGGGTATTGAGCCAGAAAATTTTGCGCCTTCACCCTCGCGGCCCGCACCTCAGAATAAATAATAGATAGTATCTACTACGTACAGAAGTTGCACTCCTTTAATGTTGACTGTTTGCCGACGTTTTAATAGCTACATAATTTTTATTAATTAGATAAATTGCGCACGCATGCTAAATAAAACTATCGCTGCGCGCGAGTGTCCGTATTACTTTGCATCTTTTCTCCTTCCTGCGTCACGGCGGACTTTCCGTGGTTAAGGGTAGTCGATAAAAATTAAAAATTACATTTCGAAACGGTAAGGAAGTAAGTAAGTATGCCTATTCTGACTATGTACGACTGACCATATTTCCGCTACTATGTAAGTTCTGTGATGCCCGACGAATGCAACTTGCAAGGCCATTCGTCGGGAATCGCGATGCTTGGCTCGGAAGAAATAGGTAGATAGTGTAAACAACAAATAAACCCGAAATATGATTCCTAACAGAAATGTGATCGTATTCTACTTAGTTAAAAATCTTGTAAATAAAGTTTTAAATTCAGTACATATTTTGTGTTAACATAAAATACGAGTATTTCAATTGGAAAAGACAAGTATAGTGTACTTGGATAGTGAAGTAAATTTAAATTAAGTTTTGTAATAAAGTACTTAGGTATTACTTCTGTAGTTAAATTATTACTTAATTATTTTTTGCTATAAGTACCTATCTAACAAAAAAAGGAATAAATTAACCTTTCATTATCCTTTGGTAACTTAAAAAATAATATATCTGAATCCTTTTGTTTACTTATTAAGCATCCATCCACGCAAAAATAATTATAGTAGGAAAGTTTTGCCATTATAATTTATCAAATAGGTAATATTATACATAATTCAGATTATTTTTAAATTACATTAAAACTTTTTCAAGTATTTTATCCTACAATTAAATATACTAAGCACTAAAAAAAAACTATTTCAACAAGTATTTACAAAATACTATTAACGTAAACAGCGTTAAAACAGAACGCGCTAGCCATAGATAATATACTATATAGAGCAGCGCTAGCCCCGACTGCCTATGTATGCCCGGGGGGCGCCTCGTGATTGATTATTTCACACAGGTCGCCCGAGTGACAGACGCCTCCCCGCACCGAGACCGTGGCGCTGTAGGACGGCGGAATGCAGAAATACAGCCATAACTCGCTCGGGGTCCATGTGCGGTCAAGCACATCGTGATCGCGACGGCAAAACATACTATTTCATTCTTAATTCTTCTAATCATCTTTGCAAGCTGTATTATTTGTGTATAATATTATAGTTTCCGGGTATTTTGCTCGGAATCGGAAAAATTTATAATTTTCTGAATAGATATGATTTACACGTTTATGATTGCACGACAGCGCTCACTTGTGGTCGCTAGTTAGCTAGGGCTTGGTTATAACTGGTAAGTAATACGAATCTGCGATTTATCAGCAATTATTGTTCTAATTTCGCTATCTCTAGCCTTCTATAAGATACGTAATACGCCTACGGTTATGCACACATAAAATATACGTAAGAAAGCCCACGTATTGTGACGGGCAACTACGGAACCCTGCCTCCACATTGTGCGTGGCCCGCCACGACACTTGGCCAGTTTTTAATTTTAATCATTCATAAAAGTGTTTAATAGTTTTGGTAGTATATTAATAAGTAATGATTTTCTGGAAAAAATACGGTAGTAAAACATTTTTCGACCAAATCTTTGACCTCACGATTAAAAAGTACGCAAGGTACCATAAAATGTACGTAAATTTTTTCCGATCTGAGGGGCATGTGGGTTAGAATACTGAAAACAAAAATAAAAACTAAATATAACCAGCGCTCTCCGTCGTGGTTGACACACACACTTACCATTAGGCTGATTATAAGCTACCATTTGTTACGAAATCACCAAGCACATGCACGCGCAAATAAAGTTTGGCCGCTAATGGTTTTAATTATTGAATACCTCAGTCAGTTTACGGTGCGCCCACCCCGCGCAGGCTCCCGCTGTCATCAAGATGCGATACGTTTTTTGTTTAAAATAGCTTCTAGTTCTAGTACGTACTACGTAGTACTTATAACTCAATGATGTTCATTGAACTGCTGTGCCGCGATCCCTGTAGTGGTTCTTCTCCTTATGGAGGTTTTCATTTGTCGCGGAGACCCTCTTTACATGGGCGGCATCTCATGGGGACACGATCGCCCCGGTCCTGGGTGCTGCGTTGGCAGCTTATATGTTGGTGTGTTGCGTACTTCGCGCCATCCAATCTGTCTGTCAAAAAAAAAGAGATCTGTCTGCCAAAAAGAGCCAACTGTCAAGCTGAAGACCGAGTGTGGCAGCATCGTTTCCGGGGCACCTGAGATTTTGAGTGAGATTGAGAGGTTCTATGGACAGCTGTACACGTCATCGTTGGAGTCACACGCAAGTGTGAGTAACGATCCAAGAGCGAGTCTTCTCCAACACTATTCCGAAGATATCCCGGACGTCAGTCTGAGCGAGATTAGAATGGCTCTCCAGCATCTTAAAAACGGCAAGGCCCCAGGCGAGGATGGAATCACAGCGGAGCTTCTGAAAGCGGGTGGAAAACCGGTACTGGATGTCCTTCAGAGGCTCTTTGATTCCGTCCTCCGTGGTGGCATTACACCGGAGGCGTGGAGCAGAAGAGCGGTGGTCTTGTTCTTCAAGAAAGGTGATAATGCTCTCTTGAAGAACTACAGACCGATTTCCCTTCTGAGCCGCGTCTACGTGCTGTTTTCGAGAGTCATTACAAATCGTCTCGCACGCAGACTTGACGACTTCCAGCCTCCCGAACAAGCAGGTTTCTGAAAGGGCTTTAGCACCATAGACCACATACATACCCTTCGGCAAGTTGTACAGAAGTCCGAGGAGTACAATTTGCCACTATGCCTGGCGTATGTGGACTATGAGAAAGCCTTTGATTCCGTCGAAATTTGGGGCAGTGCTGCAGTCCTTCAGCGGTGCCAAGTTGACTGTCGGTATATCGAAGTGCTGAAGTGCTTGTACAGTAGAGCTACGATGGCTATCCGAGTACAGAACCAGAGTACGAAACTTATCCTATTGCAGAGAGGTGTAAGACAGGGTGACGTTATATCCCCGAAACTCTTCACCGCTGCATTGGAAGACGTTTTCAAGCTTCTGGACTGGAAAGGATACGGTATTAACATCAATGGCGAGTACATCACTCACATTCAATTTGCCGACGATATAGTCCTTATGGCAGAATCGCTGGAGGACCTAAGCACTATGATCAATGACCTCAATAGTGTCTCCCAACGGATAGGTCTTAAGATGAACATGGACAAAACAAAGATTATGTTTAATGTCCATGTCACACCTATGCCGGTAGTTGTTGGGAGCACTAAGCTCGAAGTTGTTGACGAGTATGTCAAATCGGCTGGGCAGCGTTCGGGAAGCTACGACACATCTTCTCGTCAGACATACCTCAAAACCTTAAAACGAAATTGTACAACCAGTGCGTGTTGCCAGTAATGACTTACGGATCTGAGACGTGGTCCTTCACTGCTGGCCGTATGAGGAAGCTCAAGGTCGCTCAGCGAGCTATGGAGAGGGCTATGCTCGGAGTTTCTCTGCGTGATAAACTTAGGAATGAGGATATCCGCAGTAGAACCAGAGTAACCGACATAGCCCAACGGATTAGTAAGCTGAAGTGGCAGTGGGCCGGCCATATAGCTCGAAGAACCGACAACTGATAGGAAAGAAAGGTTCTTGAGTGGCAGCCTCGTACCGGTAGGCGAAGTGTAGGGCGACCCCCCACGAGATGGATTGACGACCAGGTAAGATATGCAGGAAGTCGATGGATGCAGGTGGCTCAGGACCGTGCTTTGTGGCATTCCTTGGAGGAGGCCTATGTTCAGCAGTGGACTTATGAAAGGCTGTAATGATGATGATGATGAATAGAATAGAATAGAGTAGAATCATTTCACTGGTTCGGAAAAAAACACTGTCCTGGAAAGAAACAGTTAGAAACCCAGCGGGACTTTTTTAAATAAATACCACTTTATTATATATATAATGTATGGTTCTAGTGCAACTGACAATAAGTATGTATACAATAAAATCGCGTTAAATGTCACCGTCTCCGTAAGGTAAGTTACAATATTTATATATACACATACACTATAAATATATATTATTTAAT